ATATTTCAGATTTTTTTAGCATTCTCCAAAGAAAAAGGTCACTAGAGCACTCTGGCTCTTAGACCCCAGCCTCTCTGAAGACAGATGTGCAGTACCTGTCAGAGCTGAGGGACATTTTTTAGCACAGTCTTTCTTTTTCTACCTTCTTTCCTTCAGTGTTCTTTGGGCTTTGATTTCTGCTCTCTGGCTCCCCCTACTGTATGCCAGTTAAGTTTGTGTAGTTACTCTTTTTTTTACATTTTTTATTGATTTATAATCATTTTACAATGTGTCAAATTCCAGTGTAGAGCACAATTTTTCAGTTATACATGGACATATATATTCATTGTGACATTTTTTCTCTGTGAGCTACCATAAGATCTTGTGTATGTTTCCCTGTGCTATACAGTGTAGTTACTCTTTGAAGCAGTACCTAATCCAGCACTGGCAAAGGGGCAAGCGCTGTGTCCCCTGGCCTCAGTCACCCCTGATCTAGATGTAAACCTTCTGAAGGTTTGTCATCAGACTAGCAGTTATTAAATACTCTCTGGTACCAGGCGTTATATAAGTATTTTAATGGATTCTCTCTTCTAATCGTCACAACAGACCAGCCAGTAAAAGTAAATGATCACCATCCTCATTTTTCAGCTGCGTTAACTGGGGCACAAGTAAATCATTTGTCTAAAATCACTTGAGGATGAGGTTGCCAGATAAAATACAGGATGCCCAATTAAATTTGAATTTCTGGTAGATAATAATTTTTTGCAAAATCCAGTTACCCTACTTGGAAAGTAAGTGGTAGAACTGGGATTTTAAACCATATAATCTGGTTTGGGGGCTCAGGCTGTTACCTACTGCATTTACACAGGATATGGAGACTAGATACCACATCACCTGGATGTTCATCCAGCATTTGGATGGCAGCTGCTACCTACATATTATTATTATTTCTTTTGGTTGAATTATTTTTTCCCCAACTGATTGTATTTACTAGAATGAAAAGTATGTGTATTCTTTCTGATTTCAAAGGGTAACATTCAGTTTCAAGTAAACTCATATATGCTTTTTATATTTTCTTGTTTAAAGTCTTTACTGATTGTATGCTAAATGGCATAAAGTGGGTACCTGGTCATTTTAGCCATTCTCATCCATGTAAGATCCTTGTCTTTTGACTTCCTTTTCTCAAGTACAGAAAGATTTAATTACATGTGTGTGTGCTAACAAGACACATTTCCCTTTTCCTTTGATAAAGTGAAGGAAATGACACTTGAATATTCAAGTTATTTGGCAGTTCTTTGAAACCTGTCCTAAAGTGTTCTCAAGAAATTGAGAAATTATACCATACAGATGTAGAGCTAACTGAAAGAAGCTTTTTACTAAGAACTGCCAGGGAAGCCATTTGTCTCTGCCGAAAGATCCCACAGGGAAGGAAGTAAGGAATCAGTTTTTTCCTGAAGAATTGCCACAATTCATGATCGGAATTTTAGTTCTGCATATCTAGAAATTGACTTTAAAAAACTAGAGGCATAAGAGATTGAATAACACACACTTTAAATCTGTTACTTATGATTTCCAGTTCCAGTGGCTTTGCAGACAGCATATATTAAAAAGAAGACACTCTTACAGTTAATGAACCGCGAGTTTAACACAAGACTTTTAAGTGTCAAGAAATATGGAAATTGAAGAGGAGGGGTATTTCTTAGTTAAACCTGCCTGTAATTAAAAGATACCTATGGGAAAATTTTCTGTTGTCCAGAAGGAATTGGTTAACATCTAGGTAGTATTAACAGCAAGTCAGAATTTTAGAAAAAAGTCCCGGAAGGAGTGTGAACAAGAAGAATCAGAGAACAGCTTCTCAGCAGGTGTAAGAGTGCTTGCTGTCAGATTGGCCCTTCTTTTAGTCTATTTCATTTTCGTGTGTTTTCAGGCACAATGTACTGAAAGATTTGTCAGTGACAAAGTCTCTTCGATTTTATAATGGTGGTCATTGCAAAAATTAGTATTTCCTTCATGGAAATTAAAACAATTATTTTGGACTACATTTGTTCTGCATAAGTGACATTTCTTATCAGAATTTTTACAAGTCACTACATTTGCTACCCAGCCAGCTTTTTATTATTTGGTAGAATTCATTAATGCTCATTTATTTATACTTTGTATTTTTAAATATAAGTATGGTATAATCACCTTTGGGATATAGTGATCTAAAAGACATTAATAAAAGAAAGTGCTCTCCCCCTTTATTATATAAATCTTTCCATGAAAGCAATGACTTGGCACAACAAAGCTTATTCAACCTTCAAATCTCCAGCCAGGAAAAAATAGATGGTTTTTCTCAAACACCAGCTGTTGTAAATGTTGAGCTGGCTACTTAAGGACCTAGCCTGATTACCAACTTGATTGGAATTAAGTATTTGCCTTTTAAGTGACTCACATTGAAAAGAAACTTCCCTTTTAAATTAGCTGTGAGTGGACTGTCTGCTTGCATTCAGTAAAGCTTGACAACTGAATGAGTAGTTCAGTCACTTTGGAAGTGTCAGGGAACACCATGCTTGGATGCGGACCCGGGTTCAAATCCCTGCTCTGCCTCTTCGTAAGTTACTTGGTCTGTTTCTTCCTTGTGCAATGGTAGTATTAGGATCATAATGCCTCTCTTGAAGGATTGATGTAATAATCAAATAATAAATTTGCTCGTTTACTGAATAATGACTTAACGAATGCCTGTTCTGTGCCAAGCGTTGTTCTGGGTGCTTTGAGTATCAGTGAACAAGACAAAAATCTCTTCTCTTCATTTTAGTATAAAAGACAAGCAACCAACATGTCATTTTAAGTAGTGGATGACAAGTTCTGTGAAGAAAAGTAAAGCCTGGAACATACAGAGCGTTTTATTACGATTTTCAAAGTATCACAAATAGTTTGGTCCACCTGGATTCAACAAATAACACATTGAATATATATTTGCTTTATCTGACCATCCATATGTGTGTCTGGGTGTGTGGGTATCTTGGTTTATTTTTTCCCCAAAACCATCTGAAAATTAAGGTTCAGATATCATCATCATTATAATAGTAGAAATGTACTAATATAATACTGAACTATGATAATGTAATGATTACAATTAGTCCCTGAGTACTTCAGCAAGCATGTCTTAAGAATCATTAAGAATCAGGGTATCCTTCCTTGTGTTAGGGATTTAACTAGTATTAGTTCTCTTTCTCCTCCAGGCCTCATGGAGAAAGCAGTCGGGGCTGTCTGTCAAGCTACTTAGAGAGACAAAAGGATTTATTATACTTTCATGTCATCTCAACATAGAAAACCATGTAGAATTTCCTTGGGAAGATATCTGATAGATACATTTATCGTTTTTAAAGTCATATAATAGGTACTTTGCAGATGTGTTTTTATTTTCTTTCAAGTTTTCAATTTTTGAAAACATAAAAACATGACCCTAGTCTTCATGGAAGCACCACGGAGAGTGGAAATACACATTTACTGAGGAACTGCTCCAGTTACTGCTGTGCTGAGCGCTTTCTCGTGTTATTGAGTCTTCATAGAAACTTCAGGAATGCAAAAGCATAGAATAATTATCTCTGTACTATAAAGGTAAAAATTCACTTAAGCAAAAAGTTTTATTTAATTGCAGTTGGACTATCAAGTGGCAAAGCAAGGCTTTGGATCCGTGTCTCCTGGCTTCTAAAATGCAGTCAGTTTCCGCGTTTTTGAGTAGAGTTGACCATTTTACTACATTTAGAGGCTTTCTTTTCAGAGTAAATAGCTAAATATGTGAGAGAGTTGCTGATAGATGTTCCTTCATTAGTTTCTACTTCTGTTGAGCTGCCTTTGTAATACACCTGGATAAAACTTTGGTTTTATATGGCAGTAATTACGGATTCTTTATATTTGACATTCAGTCATATTCTTACATTCTGCCAAACTTGGCAGTTTAACAAGTGTGAGTAAATTACTTCATACAGGTACATGCCTTATTTTCTCGGTTATCTTCTTCTTTAAGAATGAGGGCTGTGTCTTCTGTTTCAGCGATTCTCAGACTTGAGTGTGCATCACGGTCACATCAGTCTCTGATTCAGTAGATCTAGGGTGGAGTGCACAGATCTGCACTTCCAGCACACTCCCTGGTTATATCAGTGCTGCTGGTCTGGGGACCACACTTTGAGAACCACTGTCTACTTGTTTGTCCCCTCTCAGTACTTGGTGCTTAGCACTTAAGTTTAAATGTCCTCTCATCTGTGACTCATTCTTGGACTTCTGTGTATTCAAACTGTCAGTTGTTCCCAAATGTTAGTATAGAAGGACCATCTGGCAACTTGTTTGCAAGGCAGATTCCTGACTGAATCCCAAATCGTTGATCTTTAGCAAGCACCTTAGCTGTTAACGCCGATGATCCGTGGATAGCAATGTGTGAAATACTGACTTTCAGATCTGATCACGTGCTCCGCATCACCATGATTGTGTGTTGCATCTGTCTCTGCTTTTTATACTGCAGTGTTACTGTTTGTTCAAGTGTCTGTCTCCCTCCAGAGTCCCTAAAGGGAAAGAAGTATGTTTCGTTTAGCATCATGACTTAATGCTTAACACCACGCAGTGTTAAAAAGCAGCAGAAGGGGTACCACCGGTGTAATCTAGCTGTGTGACCTTGGAGGATTTATGTAATCTCTCTGAGCCTCAGCGTCCTCTTTTATTCACTGGTGGTAGTAATACTTGCTGAGGAAATTAGCTTCAGGTATGTATAGTATTTAGCGTCGTAATTTACGTACAGAACATTGCTAGTAAGTGGAAACCACGACTGTGGTGGTGGTTGTGTTATGGAATAAGCAAAATGTGTTTGAGTTCATCAACCCCCCCCCTTAATGATGACTTTAGCATCCAGAGTCAGGATATGTGTTTACCACTTCATTGAAAGAATCTTGGCTTACTTGTTGCAGTTAAGCATCATTTTATGTTGTTTTTTTAAGAAAACATGGGGAGGTAAAATCTTGCCTTGGATCTTTTCTCTCCCACAGGAAAACAAAGGAACCGCCTGGAACCCATGGATACCATCTTTGTTAAACAGGTGAAGGAGGGAGGACCTGCTTTTGAAGCTGGATTATGCACAGGTGCTTATACTTTAATTTAAACTTGCCTTTTCATTTCTTTTTTATTTTGTTGCTTCCACATTTCATTTTCCATTATTCTTCCTTCTCCCTCCTGTGTATTTCTTCCTTTTTCTTCACATCAGTTACTACTATTTTCCAGACCTACTAAGTTAGATGTTCTTTGATACCCAAATGGATGGGTCTGGACAGAAAGAACGTGATATGAATTGATAAATTGTGAAAGCTTTGAGTTACCAGTCAGATAACGGACTCTTGGAGGCCCTTTTAAACAGCCTATTTTGCATACATTTAGTTTTGACAAAGGTTTACCAAATAGCAAAATGATGAGGGTGTTTATTGATATAATTGAAATAGTCTTCTTGGATCTCTGAGTCCTGGAAGTGCCTGACCTGCCAGAGGTGAGTTAATCACTGCAAGACAAAAAGCGGTTTAAGTCTCCAGTGCAACACAGGCCTGGCTTCATCTGTAGATGAATGTGGATGTGGTCTGGCAGCTGTATATTCTAAAGTATCTTGTGATTTGGGATTTTAATTAAAACTATATAAGATTTAGTTTAGATTAATGCATACACTAAAATGCTTTTTTCTTGCCTTTAAACATAAAATCATTTAAAATGGGAATTAGTGAAAAATATTTTTTACTGCCTTTTGAATAGAATGTCATCTTTTCAGCTACAAATATAGGTTGGAAGTGTCATTGCCAAGATTTATTAGGGATACACCGTTAATTTATTAATTATCTTTTTTGTCATAGTTAAAGGAAGTCTTATTTCAGTATCATTAGTATATATAATCTGCATATCAGTGAACATACAGGATTCCATTACCTAGAATCATCTGTCATGTTCTAAGCCTCACAAGGTTGGGAAGATGAAGTGGAGGGGCTGTGTGTGCACAAAAAGTACATTTTAAATATTTTCCTTTTTTCCCTGTCTCTTATGATTTTCCTTTCTGCTCTGCTCAGTTTTTCTGAGTAATCCAAATATCCTTTTCCCCATTAAAATGAAGAACGAGTTAATATATATATAAAGTCAAAGCTATGTGTATAACCATGTTTAGTTCTGTAATGTAGCACCAATCAATGAACTAAATAGCTGGGGAGAATGCCACAAGGAAATCAGCTGGACTGAAATTAGAGGACCCTGAGATCACAATCAATCAGTTGTTTAAACCGGTTAAAGAATGTTTCTCTATTAGAAATGACAGGGTAAACAGAAGAATAACTGGTTCTACAACTCTGAAGACAAAGGATAAGGATTTAAATGTAACTAGTGTACCTGTGGTCACTTGGTGATTATACTTTCTGGAGTTTCCAAATTCATCAATGCCTGGGCTCTTATTTAAAACACAGTTATATTTCATAAGAAGCTGGATATATTAAAATTTAGATTTATTTTTGTAAGAGGTACTTGAAAAAGCAACAAGCAAGGATATATCAAACATAAGTATATTATTCAAGAAATATTTCAAAGGTACTCAGAATTGACTTTTTAAAGGAATTCCTCATGTGGTTTTTTGTTCTTTTTTTTTTAAACTCCTCTTTGAAGGTGACCGAATTATAAAAGTCAATGGAGAAAGTGTTATCGGAAAGACTTATTCCCAAGTAATTGCTTTAATCCAGAACAGGTAAGATTCTTGAAATATGATTAATTTTGGCCAAAGATGGGTTTTATAAATAAATGAAGCAAGTAGATTTAAAGCAGTATTGTATTCCTGTAAGGAATTGATACAATATGGAGATAATGGAACTTTCCTGAAAGTGGAAAACGCATTTGAAAGTTGCCAGGAATGAACTACCTGAGGATGGCTTATTTGGTACCTTTGTTTTGGTAAATTTATTGATTTGTAATTAAAATCCTTTAGAGCCTGAGAGGCATATATTTTAGATTTACTGTTAAGTTTCCTGCTTTTACTTAAAGTGACAATCAGATTTAGAATTTATTTATAGTAAGTATATAAATAAATGCATAATTTATTTTAAACCCTCCTACTAAGAAAACTTATCTTTAAATAGCTTACTGAATAATATTCTTGGCTCATATTCATTTGTTTTAACAAAGCAAGAAATTCCCTTTTAATTCATCTGTCCACCTACATTCTACAAAATAGGATTTAGAGTTCTAAAGGTAAATATTTATAGAGTGGCTGACTTAAAGATAATTTAGTCCTGCTCTCTTTCTCTGTGTCAAGCACATAAAAATTTTTTTTTAATTACAAATAAAGCCAAAGAGGTTACCATATTGAATTTCTTTCAAGAGTAGACCATGACTCTAGGGTCTGATTTCCAGGTCACCACTCTTGTAAGAGATTCTTGCCAGATTCAAGTACAGTAACTTTAGGGATTATCTGTTGCTTGCTATTAGCCATACTCACCTGTCTGTAATTAAATTGAAGTTCATGATTTTTTGAAGACGTCTGTCAAGCTCCTCTAACCATGTCTAAAGCAGTTCATGCGATAATCTAAGTTATTTACACTAATGTCCTAATACGTTGCCACTTTTACAGTCAGGTGATGTGATCATGATTTATTGATCAGTTTTGTCCGTACTCTTGGGTTCTAGGTATTGCTGATGGTGATGCATGTTTGATCTTAAGTATTTAGGAGACCTGGGGACTGGTGGAGAATTGAAAGCTTCTCCAGAGGCATTGGGGAGATCCACCCAAATTTTGTTTTACCAAAAACAATTTAGATCGTAATAAGTACACCAATATGTTTTGTCAACCTGTAATTTAAGGAGTTTTAGTGTATTTATTAACATCTCTTCTTTTAAAATACTACTTTTCCAAACAGTGATAACCGAATCTTTGTTCTCCTCAAAATCCACATTGTTGGTTTTTTTGTTTGTTTATTTTTATTTTTGTTACTGGTGCAGTTTATCTTTCAGAATAATAACACTTGGGAATGACAGTCTTAATTTTTCAACCAATAAAGCAATTTGAAAAATAAATACTGTTTTTTCATGATCTTATTTTTCTTTTACAAAATTGTGTTCCTTTTGTCTGCAGTTGGTAGCAAATGGATTAATGCAGCACAAAGCCATTGAGATTCTGCAGTGTATTAATGTAAAAATGTATCCTTGCAGAAGAATTTATCTAAGCATCAGTATGTATTTTCTACCAACTCTAAATATTGAAATACAAGTATCTACATATTTTCTTAATATAATCTCTTTGAACCTGTGGTTCTTACTGGTTTACTATTGTCTCAGCATTTATGACCTGAAAATAAGGGTTCAAATAGAGACACCAGTAAATTATTAGATTTTTGGGTTTTTTGTTGTTGTTTGTTTCTTAATCTCTTGATTGTATTGGGGGGAAATCTATCTGATCTTTTTAGGTTAGATATTGAAGGACTTGATGGCACTAGCACCACTGTCCTTGCTTTTCCTAAATGTAATTCCAGATCACAGGACTCTTTTAAACCTAGCGAAACGCCTCTGTTATTTTTAACAGGACATTTAGAGTACCAAAATAAAACGAGACTTTGAGCTGCTCCTGTAAATGCTCTAAAACTAAATCACAGACAAGAAAGCACATAGTTGAGATGCCACAAGGTTTTTAAAAATAAGGAGTCATCTTGATGGTTGTGATGGTGAACTCTGATTTCTTTCCCCTCTGAGGCCAAGAGGGAATTTTAATTCAAAATTAGGATGTTTAAGGTTGTTTAAAATGTTAAATGAGGGTTCTCTGGTTATTTTTATGTTAATGTATTTTTAACTTGATAGACAGCGAGAATATGTGGTAAAAATTTGTAATTTGTTCTGTGACTGGAAATAAAATAAAACATAATTATATATTAATGAGTTCTGTTCCAGGAGTATTCAATAGACGTAATATACTTCATGTTTCTAAATTAGAAACATGCTATAAAGAACACTTGACCAATTATGAATAGCCAGACATATGGCGGGGTGCCCTCTTTTTACATAATTAGCTTTTATGTATATAAATGACTTCTTTTCATTTTAATGAGTTGGATTTGAAAAGTAAAGATTAAAAAAAAACCCAAATTAAACTCATAAACCATTTAAGAATTACTTCTGAGTTAACTCTTTTTCCTTTATGTCACTCTTACATACTTCTGCCTTCTCTAAAATAGTGTATGTGTATTCAATTTCAGTGATACAACATTGGAACTTAGTGTTATGCCAAAAGATGAAGACATTCTCCAAGTGGTAAGTTTTATTGATTCAAATATGAGTTGTTTTATAATCATGACTGTTAATAAAAATTCTTTAAAGATGGAGGTTATTAAATTTTACAAAAGATTCTAGGGAAAAAACCCAAACCCTCTATTTTTCTCAGTATTTAAAAAAAGAGAGACTATTGTCAATTTTTTTTACAATTAAGCAACATGAGAACTTTTTATTGATTCCACAGTAAACTCATATTATTGTCATTTGGAATGAGATTCCTAAAGAGTTTTTTTGCTCCAAAATTGCATTCTAGGTAGTGCTTTGACAAAAGCCAAAGCTCCTGGTATAAGTACTTGTTCCCAGAAGTTAGATTTTTTTTTTTTAAATACAAGCACAGAAATTGTATGAAAGCCATTTAAAAATTTTCCAATAAGTATTAAAATTAACTTTGTAAATTAACTTACCTAGCAGATTTCTTTAACAGTATCAACCCATTATGTTAGAAGTGATGTTCACAATGAAAAGAGTCTCTTAAGGGAAAAATATGTTGTGTCTTAGAGAATGAAACTGTATAGTTGAAAACTTCAGCATTTGGCTTAGAATACTTTTCTCATCTTTAGAAAGAAAATTAATTGAATCAAACACTGAACTCTCTCATTGAGCTTAGATATTGCTGAAGGTAAAAAGATGATAAAATAAAGTTCATCCAAGAAAATAGTATCTTTCTTAGACTGACTTTGTAGTTCAGTGGAATACAGTAATTATTAAGTGTAGGAAGTAGCAGTGGCTACTGACGTTTGTGGTTTTAAAAAAGTTCCTTTTAGCAAATAGTTGTTGCTTTCTGTTTTCTTACCCAGAATTCAGGGATTCTTTGTGGTGAGACAGGAAATGGTAATGCTTTTCATTTGTCACGCATTAGTTTGAACTTCATTCAGTTATCTTCTGTAAACTTTCTTTTTAACAAAAAACCCTAAAGCCTGATCCTAATGATTCAGTTTATTCACGGACACACAAAATATAATTAACTGAAATCCAAGGACCTTGTTTTCAAGGCATGCTGATTCTATTTCAGATATTTACTGATAACTGATTACCCTTAAGCAGACAGTTCTGTTGGGGCTGGTGCCTGAACAAGGAAGGAGGTGTAACCATCCACGGTGGTTTTCTTTGTCAGGCAGAACTAGTTGCAGAGTCCTTTCCCTGATAGTTCGGCACAGCGAGGGTGACACACATAACCAGGGAAGGCCTTGGAAGTCACAAGACTGAAAATAAATAGGGGCCCCTCCTCTGATGTGCCACGTATGCAGAGGACTCGGGGGTGATGCGCACATGGTAGGGGAGACTGAATCCTCATGCAACCTCATGACTCAGACTGCTCTTCCCAACAGAACTGATTTCTCATCTTCAGTAGACTCTTTCCTTGGCAAAGGGAAGGCACCGGTGGGGTGCTGTTTAGAACAGTGAAGCGAACAGCTCATTTCACAGAACAGCTGGCTTTGTACTCAATTCCCAGGGAAGGAATCAAGCACAGAATTACCACGCCAGCCTGCTGTGTGGTGGATGCAGAGAAGCAATGGTTGGAGGTAGCAGCAGTGCCAGGAATAATTTTCTGATGATGTGATCAGTGAGAAATCAGGTTAATTAGTCTCCTTATATTGTACTTAAGATAAACACATTTAAAATAAAGGAAAAATACAAAGTGTTGCAAACCCAGGGGAAAGCTGGTTCACTAAAGTGACCTGAGCACACAGGTTTTCAAGGGTCCATCAGGAAAGGATCCTGATACACGTATTGTAACAGAAAATTCATTCTTCAAACATGTTATTAGAGTTATTTTAATCATAAGAAATTAAAAGCTCAGACCCTTAACAATAAAAGAAAACCTCACTTTTAAACCTAATCTCCTTTCACATTTGAATGTACTATAACTTGTTAGGAAATCAAAGGAGAATATGTCATTAATGCAGACCATGCATTGTTCCCTGAAGGAAAATGGGGCACCTTCTGTTTTGAATAAATGTTTTTAGCTGGGATATCTACACATGTCATTTTTTTAATTGAAATACAGTCAATTACAATGTGTCAATCTGTGGTGTACAGCACAATGTCCCAGTCATGCATATACATACATATATTCGTTTTCGTATTTTTCTCCATTAAAGTTTATTACAAGATATTGAACGTAGTTCCCCGTGCTATACAGAAGAAACTTTTTAAAATCTATTTTTATATATAGTGGCTAACATTTGTAAATCTCGAACTCCCAGATTTATCCCTTCCCACCCCCTTTCCCCAGTAACCATAAGACTGTATACATGTCATTTTCAAAGCTATTATAAAACACAGATAATCTATTACTTAAAAAACTGTATGTGGAAATACCTCTTAAACAGATTCTAGAGCTAAAATGTTCTATCAGGGGCCTCAGAAGTATTTATGTTGGTCTTAAATCTGTTATCCAAAATATATACATCTTTAAAAAAGATGTATTTGTCCCTGTGAGGTTGAATATTCATTGTAAAAAACAACACAAGCATGACCATTTTTACAGCCGCCATAAACATTATTTACCCAGGAGAAAGCCTGTCACAGTTTGTGTATGTTTGCCTGGGTGACAAACCCAGGACTGGGTATGCGTGAAAGTTTGTTTCCTCAAGTGATGCATGGACCAAGTTGAATGTCCTGGAGGTGCTCAGCTCTCTGAGAGGTGGCGCAGAAGATTGAATTTGGTGGTAGTGGGAGATGCATAGCTCAAGTGGTAGAGTGCATGCTTAGCGTGCACAAGGTCCTGGATTCAATCCTCAGTACCTCCTTTAAAATTAATAAATAAACCTAATTACCTCCCCCCTAAAAAAAAAGAAAAGAAAAAAATTTTAATGAAAATAAGTAAAGAATTATTAAAAAAAAAGAAAAT